GCTGAGGCCGGGCTAGAGTGAGCAGAGGCGGCGGGCTTGAGAACGGCGCGGCCAGCGGATTCGACGAATGAGTGGCAACCACATGTGACGACCCCGGGCTGCACTCCACTTCTTCCACGGTGAAAGCCGATCCGGCGATCCACAGCGCAAGGTTGTTGTATTTCCTCAGCGACCAGCACGGATCAGCTCCAGGTGTGATGAAGCAGATATCGTCCTCTTTTGGAAGACCAAACAAAGTAGTTTCACTTTCACAACGAAGCACACAGCGCCTTCACGACATGGCGGCGGCAGCAACAACAATACTACAGCGAGAATAAAAGTTATGCCTTCTTTCTTTGCGTGAACATTTGGGCGGCGTTATGCAAATCTTCCCACATGTAGATATGGGGGGGCGTGTTAGAACAAGCCGTTTTAGGTAGGCGTGGCTGACTCTTAACTTTTATAAAGAATATCTCTTTGGATTTGAGACTTTAGTCTTTGCAACTTTACAGATCTTCTTTATGCACCAAGAGCTTGTAACACTCCAAAGAGAAAGAAAAATGTTTAATTGCATCATATGACCCCTTTAATTCAGTTAGTTTTAAGAAATATATAGTGGACTCAAAAATGAAATAAGTTCACAGTACAAATGTCACATTATAAATAGTTTATAAACATACATGGCTGTTACTCTAATTTAGTGCATGATGGTAACATACTGTAAAATAGGTAAAGCACTGTAAAATTAACATTAAGATACAGTAACAGTATTTTACCATTAATTTACAGGACTATTTCACTACATACAGTAACTAAAAATAAAGAGTACTTTGCAGGTGAAACTGCTGCCTGTTAATTGATGCAAATCTATAGTGAAAAGTTTTACAGTGTAGTTATCTTTTGTTGTAGATGCTAATATCCCCATGGTTATCATTAGTTGGTGTGGATGCTAATATAGTTATCGTTATAGTGATTGCCCGTTTGGATATTTAGTTATCGTTACATATATCCATATAGTTATTGTCCGTTGGTGCTAATATAGCTGTTGTTATAGTTATCCTTATGGTTATTGCCGTTGGTCAGTTTTTGATCCTGTTTTTTTATATATATATATAATTTACTGTTTACAGTTTTTTACGATTGCTTAAGCACAATTTTGAAAACAGGGCCCGGTTTGTCAAAACACTACACACAATTAACACAACCCTACACCAAAGTAGCACAACACTTCAGATCATTTGCAAAATGGAACACTTTTGTCAAAACTATACACAACTTTATAAAAACAATATTTTGTTACCATACGAAACACACACATTTCATATGACTTTAATCTTTTTGAACCAGTTACACACTGCTGTTGCTAACCTAAAACACTTTTAGCAAGTCTAATTCTCAGTGATTAGAGTACTGTAAATGAAGTACACACAGAAAGTGCAACTATACAATAGTTCACCAAACACTACACAAGGGTAATTTGACAGTCAGTGCTTTGGGATTGCAAGGAAGTGACATCATGATATACTTCTGTGTCTGATTTATACAAGTGTGTTTAGTGTTTTACAAATCACTGTGTGTAATGTTTTGCAAATAGTGTGAAGCTGACAATGTGCTTACAGTTGTGCAAATCTTGCCTTGTGTTTTGCTCCTTGAGTGTAAGGTTTTGCTAATTGTAGGAAAAGTTTAATTTTAGTGTGTAAGCAATCGTAAAAAACTGTAAAATCAAATGATTCAAGTCCTTTCATCTCAAGCAGGTATGAAACGTAATTTCTTTCAGCTTGACAGACTGTAGTGTTCTGTCTCTCTGTGGGTGGAGCTCTGAATGATTGACAGCAGTCTTGATTTACATTTTTTATTTTAGCAGATGGTTTAATCCAAAGTGACTGACATCACATCACAACCAATTTGTCAAAAGAGCCAACAATTGCTGTACCAAGGTTTGGAATGCCAAGTTTAAAGAAGATTAAAACAAACTAGAGTAGAAGTGAAGTGCTGAAAACGTGAGAGAACAAGATATGCGATGCATATAACAAAATATACAAGATATACTGTGTGTGTGTGTGTGTGTGTGTGTGTGTGTGTGTGTGTGTGTGTGTGTGTGTGTGTGTGTGTGTGTGTGTGTGTGTGTGTGTGTGTGTGTGTAACTGCTCGCAGAGGTGTGTCCTCAGCATGATGTGTTACTAAAATGATGAAAGGACTGAGAGCATGGATAGAAAGTTCAGTGAATTGATATGTGTATAATCATCGAAGTGTGTTTTTCATTTACATTTTGTAGTTGTTTTCTTTTTTTATATGTGCTTTGGTGTTTCAACTTTAAGCCTCATTGTTAATGTTTTCAAGGCAGAAAATAAAGCGTTTACATTGCAATAGTTTGCAGTTTTCTTACATTCAATACCTCTGAATTCAAAACTTAATAATGCACAGCAATACATTTAGAGATTGTAAAGACACACAGTGGACTGTACTAACACAACTGATAACCTACAGGACCTTATACTAGTTAACTGTGTATGAAAACAGCATTCATTTGTGTGTCTGTCCCAGTGAGGATATCATACTATACGTGTTCTATGCTGGAGTCCTTGTTATAACACAAAATCTTTTTTTTTTCTTATTAAAATGAAAGTGGATCTGTGATTTTAAATGCCAAGCTCCAAAAAGTGTCATAAAACACTCCACAGCTTTTTTAAGAGATTACTGACTGGTGCCCCCTAGCAGATAGTTTATCTGTGTTCTTCAAGCCATCTTGGGTATTTTCATAAGAATAATAGTATATTTATAATGAAATGCTATTTGACATAGCCTTTATCACAGTACAGACTAGGCCTACTATAAAATATGTTCTGCCTCACTCTGTGATTAAAAGTCACATTGGAAAACATAAGGTTATTTAAAACACTCAACCTACTTTATTAAGTGTGTTTGGAGCTTAAACATGGTTTTAATCAAATGAATTGTAGTGTTTTGATGCTCTACTAATCTAACATGTTAGCTAGCCCTTACATTAGATTACACCAACAAAATGAAGCTAGAGGTTAGATAGAGCAAGAAGAAATAGCATTTTAAGGTAACATATACAGCTTAACACTTTTTAATAGTGTACCGTAGATTTCGCATGTTGTCTAAAGATTTGGAATATTACTTATCACCGTTCGTGGATTACCGTCACAATCATTTTTGTTTGTTTCTTCGTTTTGTTTCAGAATAACCTATATTTACCTCCTGCTTAAAATCTACTTCTGTGTTTCACAGAGGAAAGAAACTACTGTGTTGGAGCTGCATATGAGTAATAAATAAGACTTCATATTAAGTCATTCAGCTAGACAGAGAGGGACCCCTCGTGGCCGTGATCAGACACATTCATGGGACTTTTCCACCAGCGTTTCCTGTCTTATGTGTCATTATTGGTATAGAGGTTTAAAAACATCAGTTTATTTTATTCATGCACAAACATTACAAATTTTGTTTTTGTTTTTTATGTATCAAAGATAGTGTAGAAAACGTTGTAGTGATAGTTGTAGTGATCTTTAATGAGCTGTAGTATTCAACACAAAATTGTTTTAGATATTAAACCTTTGTTTTGATGTCCTTAATGCACAATTATGGTTGGTTGCAGTTTATTATATGCATTCATAATTTGCAACCTACTGGGCTAAACCAATGCATCTTTGGTGCAAAAAAAGTAGCTTGCTGTTTTGCTCGTTAACTGGCGGCTAACTGAGTGACAAATTAATGCCATGCAATGAGGCTATGGGATTGTCATGCATTCATTAATTTCATTAAACTCATAAATTTCAGTTTTGGTAGTAAGTTTCAGCACAAAGTGTTCATTAACGTACATCTGCTTTTGCTGCAATTTCATTACAGGGTCCAGAACTGCTTGTGCAACATGTGACAGGATATGATGATGTTGTAGATACGAACTGAGAGTTCATGAAGTCCGTGTAGTTGTTATATCCGCAGCATTTCAGCTAGAAAAAAAAACATGCACATGCAGTGGTTTACAACAGTTTCAATTATTAGGGATTCTAATATCAGAAAACAGCTGGACATGATGACTGGTGCCGTACCTCATTCATAGTGCTATTCCAGACTGAAGTGAAACTCTCATCACTCCCATAGTTGTCCTCAATGCTTCTAGCAACTTTTTGTTCAATTTCATCCAGAACGTTTTGAACCTGGAATGAGGTTAAAATTGACCTTCAGCCTCTGATTTTACAGACTAACGCTCTGCCGTGCTTGTAAATACAGATTAATTTCAACAATACAGGATTATGGAATCATAAACGGATCAAATAATAAGGTGTATGTGGGTTTTAAATGTATTTTTGTACAAATAAGCCATTGTGGTTCTTAGTGTGCTGTCTTGTATTGCCAATATAAACTTGGTCATGGAAAATGTCTTTTTTCGAATTAATTTAAAGCTCACATCTTTCAAGGCTCCAATTATTAGTTTAAGCTCCTTTGTATAACATGATTACTCTGTATTTTTTACTTTACTACATATGATTTTTGTGTATGTGGGTTTTAAATGTATTTTTGTACAAATAAGCCATTGTGGTTCTTAGTGTGCTGTATCTTGTTTTGCCAATATAAACTTGGTCATGGAAAATGTCTTTTTTCGAATTAATTTAAAGCTCACATCTTTCAAGGCTCCAATTATTAGTTTAAGCTCCTTTGTATAACATGATTACTCTGTATTTTTTACTTTACTACATATGATTTTTGAGTTGCTAAGAAAGTATTTTGTATTTGTGTTATTCCTGTTAGCTCCCATGCTCACGAAATGCTTTGCAATATGGAAATTTCTATCATTTTGTCTAAATATCTTTAAAATAGGCTGGAAATTGTTCTTTGTAAGTGCAGTCCCCATACAATGATTTTCAAAAATCCTTATTCAATAATAATAATAAAAAAATGCATTTATGCAGGGGTGTAGCTATGTGGTGGCCCCTGATTGAAGCTTAATTGGAAAACAAAATGCTTATGCTTTTATGACATAGTAAACAAAACAAAGATGAAGTTTTACAAGAAAATAATATTTCAGTCTTTTGACTTGAAAGTTTCACATTTAATTAAATGTGTTACTAGCTCTTTCCTTATTAGTTGTGAAATTTGTGACATTTTTTTGAGTGAAAATTGTAAATCCTACACCATTTTTGTTGTGTGTATATATGCTTTTGTTCTGGTACGGTGCATCAGATCTCACCAAAGGCTCAAAGACGAAGAGCACTACCCCTGCTGCCACCTCCACGAGGAAGATAATGAGCACAACGGTGAAGAACTAGGAGAAAAGTTGAGAAATTTACATTTCTGTCTGCATCTAAGCTTAGAGAGTGAAACATTCAGAGCAGCTTTAGCTGAACACATATGACAGAAACCGGCTCACTTACCGAGAGCAGCATGCATTTGCTTTCCTTTACGGCTCCACAGCATCCCAGGAAGCCCACGAGTGTCAGAAACGCTCCCACGCCGATCAGCAGGTAGCCAACGTTTGCCAGCTGTGCCAGTTCGGGCGGCGCGTCTTCAATGTGCTCTAAAAAGCCCAGAAGAGAGACTCTGTCTACTGCCACCCAGATGCCCACCGCCAATATGGCAGCGCCTGCCAGCTGCATCGAGGAAGAGGAGGATGGAGGAAAACACTGTTATTTTACTGTTTAATGTTGCAATATATTTTTTTGAGTGTGGAAACATGACTGATCTGGGTGAAGGAGCTTTTATTATATTCCTTATCTGATAAGAGTTACCGTGGTTCAGATTATAAGAGGCCTTTACGGCAGAAGTAGTTAAGCGATAAGAGTTATAGATGTAAGCTCTGTTCTATTTGGAAATAATTCATATGGATGCACTGGTCATCGTAATAAGCAGTCATAAAAAAAATGTTTGGGTTAAGAAAACCTGGAAAGTCCAGTCTTCAACAAAGATCATACTTACAAAGATGACGCCGTTGAAGACGAACATCATAATTTTGAGAAAACCCTTGCAGCACATCTTGGCAGATGTTCCTTATTCCAAAAAAGAAAAAGAAAAAAGTAATATAACAGATTATTATTATTATTATTACTTGTGTATTTATATATTTAACATTACATACAGGTATCAATGTACAAATGTCTTTAGAAAAGCAGGGGTATAAAAATCAATCTTAAGAATCTGTAAAAAATCATGATAGTTTTATTTTTATCATTATTACAGTACTATTGTAATAATAATAAACAATAACTGTAATTAGAATCACAATTGAAACATTTTATTTTTTATTATCTTTTCTCCTTTCAGGTATCGGGGTCAGTAAAATTTTTATTTTTTTTTTCACAAAATTTTTACTTGTTTCAGAACGTTCAGAGAACATTCAAAAATAACATTCCCATCATTTTTGCAAAATGATGAAATGGAATGTTCCCTTAACATTTGTACATAACCAAGAAAAATACTTAAAAATAAAAAAACTGGACATTCTGAACATTCAGAAAACATTCAAAAATAATGTTTTTCAAAATCCATCGGGAACATTAGCAAAATGATCTTAGAACATTTTTTTTAAGACATAATGTAACAAAAGTGTTCTATTTAAAATATATATTTTTATTTATTTATTTATTTTTCCTTTCTATTCATCAAACAATCCTGTAAAAATGAAGCATTACAATAGGAGTGAAATGTAAACTGGACAATAATGTAATTAACAGTTATGCATCAGTCTATAGATCATTAAAAGTGTAGCTGTTTTATTTGCCTGCTTCTCTGAAACGACGTCAGAGCTGTAAAGAAGTGCACCATTAAAAGCCATAAAAACGAAGCTAAGCACCACTACAGGGAAAATAGAAACCTGTGTCTGAAGAGCTGCTGGTGAGCGCTAACTAAAGATTAATGGACAGCTGTTCTACTTCCTGCTTCTACTTCCCCTGGAATGAGTAAATACTGCTTTATCTGGTTCTGGGAAATATTTGACTCATGAAGGAGATTCTGATGTTGTCAAGATGGTTTGGCTCCTCAAAATGTGGTCATGATCACTGGAGAAGGTTATTTGTTAACATTATTTCGGTGATTCTCTATAAATGGCATTGGTTTCTGATTCATTGTGTGTGTGTGTGTGTGTGTGTGTGTGAGAGAGAAAAATTTATTTATTTTTTTTTTTTTTGTATAAACATGAATGTATTGCTCTTCTTACAAATCTACAATTATAGAACCTAAACATTTCCGTTAATAATTTGAACCCTGAAAACCTCATCATTGTTTGCTCGATGAAAGTCACATAATATCAGTTATGTTCTGTATGTGAGAGAACAGATGAAAGCAGGCTTACCTGTGCACAGGTGAATGGTGCTCTCAGGTGTGTGGGATGAATCTGAAGTCTCAAACGTCATCAGACTGAAGTATCTGCTGGAGGCGGGGCTTAAAGGCAAACAATGCCTCGTTTTTTTGTTTTTTTTACCAGAATGACTTCCTTATGGATGAAGCTTTTATGGCGCTAGGAGTTTAGATTGAAGTCAGCTGATGATACAGTCATGGAAATATTACTTTTATATACATGTGTTGAAATAGACCTTTGTACTGTCTGGAGAAGAAAGAAGGAGAAGGAAAACTCCTGTAGGCCACCAAACAAAAAACTCCAGTTTCATCGACAGATATTCATTATTTTATCGAAATAACTCTCTATCTATCTGTCTGTCTGTCTGTGTCTGCCTAAAAGTTAATTGTATGTTTCTTCTTTTTTGCCACAAACCAAGGAACTCACTCAGAGAGGGGAAGTTAAATCATGGTGGTTTACCATGTTGTGCTTCAGAGCTCTGTGTGTGCCCTGATCTCATTATTTGTCATTCAGGCTTTAAGAGCTCGGTAAGACAGACTTTTGATATCTCTCTGTTCTTTTGTTTCTATGTCTCTGTCTTTGTTTATTTTTCGAACGCATTATCAGTTGTTGATATTATACTGTAAAATCATTCAGTCAACGTCAGTGTCAGCAGTGAGGTACGTTGAGCCAGATTTTGTGTGGTAACGTTTTCAGACGAGAAGAAATGAGACTGATCTGACTGAATGAGACTGAAATCATCATACAGTAGTTCTCAAAAAAAAACCTGTATAAATAAACATTGATCACTTCTTGATTCAACCATTCAACCATTTTGGTTTATGTTTACGTCACTACTTTTTAGATGATTACATTTGTAAACATACAATAGTTAATATTTTTATGACGGATATTCATCCTCTACTATTAAAGATCTGGGACATAGTTAAACAACAAAATCTATACATAAAATAACATAAATTTGAAATTGTTTTTTTTTTTTTTTTTTTCAAAATTTTAAAGTGCCTCTATTCAAAGAAACAGGTATACATTTTATTGTCTGAAGTTTAATTGATACATGTAGTCACCCAAATTGTCCTGGGTTCTTCCCTTCTGCTGGTTGACTGGTGAACTCAAAGGGGCTTTCCAGCCATTGTAGAGACAGTTCAAATGTTGCTAATAATGTCATAAATAATGTCATTTTAAATATCTGCGGTATATTTGTTGTAGTTGTTGCTATGCTGAAGTCTGTCAGAATGGCTACTCCTATTTTGATCTTTCTGCTCATGATTCACGGTGAGTCACAGCAACTGTTCACTCTGTAGACACTGAGTATATTCGTTTTGCATTCATTTCAATTATTTCATTTGAAGTTGAAGATAAAATAAATATAAAATACATATTGTGATTATAAGGGGTTATGAACTGAGAAATCAAATTTCCCTTGATCATTTGACATACAACTAGGTCAATGCACTCTAAAAACATCCTGTAAGTTTCAGAACTCAAAACTTTCTTGTTAGTTTAAAAACAGCTTTTATTGAAACCAAGCTCAAAAAACGACTCGTTTTGGAATGTGCCACTTTATGACGTAATAGTGTTGGATAAACCCCGCCTCCGCAGGAGAAGATCAACCTACTTGTACGTCACTGCCTCTTTAGCCCCGCCCACTGATACGCACTTGTAGCAGGACAAGAGAGACGCAAACACAGGATTACTCCATCAACAGAATCAGACAGATGATATCACACGATTACAAGACACTGTGTGGTGTAAGGTGTTAAAAATAGTCTTTGAATTGCCTTCCTTGTGATCCTAACACCGTATCTAGATCGGACGTGCACGCTATTATTGCGTCATGATGCAAATCAGTTTCTCTTTCAGGTCAGAAGCGGTGCGGATGCTTGTCTGTCAGAAATAGAGCGAGACATCAGTTTACTGTCGAGGATTTGTTGTGTCAATCCGTGCCACATCCAGTATAGACAGAATCACAGATTATAATGGGTTCTGTTGTCTAGAGTCGCGTCCGATTTAAACACGGGGGGAAATGAGCAAAGAGCTTCAGATCGCTTCAGTTAAACACTAATTGTTTGTTTGCTTTAATTTACTACGGATTCATTTTTAAATGAGAGTATGACGCAGGCAGAGAGACTGAAAGTAAACGCTGATGCAGCGCAGAGTCCGACTAGAGCAGATCCAACAGTAATGTCGCAACACATACGTGTGAGTAAACGTGCTTTTACCACTTACATTGTCTGTTCCAGATCATCATACTGAGTATTTACACGTTTTTAACCCAAACGATCCATGTTGTTTTCAGAGTACGTCACAGAAACTGTTAGCCAATGACAGCAGTGGGCGTTTCCTTGAGTCTTGAATGAGCCCCGCCTATAAAAACAGACCGTTCTGCAGAGAGGCTCAAAAGCAGGATAGAAAATAGCCTAATACTTCTAAATTATGTTTTTTTATGTAAAATCACACTAACATTATAAGTGAACCTCAAAGAACATTTTAAAATAATTTTAAAAATGCAGTTCATGACCCATTTTAAAGAATATGTTAGAGAGCCTTAAAAGAATATGAAGTTGTGCTCAAAATTAATTCTGTATTTCAGGGGTTTCTAGTGGTTATTGGGGTGTGAGTTACAGTCATTCACACATCTGTGCACTAAAGGACTCATCAGTGATAATGAGCTGCACTTATACATACCCTACTGGACATCAGATCATGAAAGTGTTCTGGACCAAAAACCCTGTAAAGGGTGAAGAGCCTCCAGATCTGTCTGAGGATCCTGAATACAGTCAGAGGCTTCAGTATCTGGGAGACAAACAGCAGAACTGCACCATCAGACTGAGTCATGTGAGACAGAAAGATTCACACAAGTACTATTTCAGATTCACCACTAACAAACACGTCAAGAAATCGATTGGTGAACCAGAAGTGACTCTTACTGTCACAGGTGACTTTCATGAGGCTGAGCTCTTCTTCTGTGCATTATGTTGAATAATAATCAGTGTATGACAGCAGCACTAGATATAATGTGTGTGTTGTGTTCAGATCTTCAGGTGGAGGCTCCTGAGAGAGTGACAGAGGGTCATAATGTCAGTCTGACATGTAAAAGCAGCTGCACTCTGACTGACAGAGCAACATTCATCTGGTACAGAAACTCACAGCCATTAACTGAGAGAAGAGACGGAAACAATCAACTCCTGCTGCAGTCAGTCAGAAGAGAGGATGCAGGCAGATACAGCTGTGCTCTACATGGACACAGTTACATCTCTCCTGCTGCTCATCTCAGTGTCACGTGTGAGTACAGATTCATTTGTTCTTTTTAAAAACCTGGAAATTGTCTTTGAATGGGATTATATAAGGATTTAATATGCATCCTTTATAGATGCACCAAAGAATGTGTCAGTGTCCATCAGTCCATCTGGTGAAATAATGGAGGGAGATTCAGTGACTCTGATCTGCAGCAGTGATTCAAACCCTCCTGCAGAAATCAGCTGGTTTAAAGGAGGAAGGTTTGTAGGATCTGGAAGAATCTACAGCATCTCAAACATCAGCTCTGATCACAGTGGAGAATACAAGTGCAAGTCCAGAAATAAACATGGACTGAAATACTCTGGTGCTGTGACTTTAAACGTCATGTGTGAGTTAATGATGGTTCAGTTTTAATGATGGTTCAGTTTAATTCTTTGTCACCTCAGATTTATCATTATTGATAATGATATCTTTATTTTTCTGTTTCAGATCCTCCCAGGAACGTCTTAGTGTCCATAACTGGATCTGCTGAAATAGTGGAGGGAGATTCAGTGACTCTGAGCTGCAGCAGTGATTCAAACCCTCCTGCAGAAAACTTCAGCTGGTTTAAGGAGAATCAAAGCTCAGCTGTTGGATCTGGACAGAGTTTCAGTGCACTACAGAGTGGACGCTTCTACTGTGAGGCTCACAATCAACATGGAT